ATGGTCCCGTACGAAAAGAACAAAGACCTACTCTCAATAAACCGCGGAGCACTTGGACGAATCCTTGCAGCCCGTTCCCAACACGGAGACTTTGCAGACTACCATACACGGTTCCACCACGAGGACGCTCTCTTAACCTGCTCTTGCGGAAGAAGAAAATCCCCGCTTCACTTCTACTTCTGCCTACTATTAAACTGTAAGAAGCTACACAAAGGACGCCCATCAATCGCAATCCCTTGGCTACTTGGAACTACCCAGGGCTCTATCAAACTAGCAAAGTGGTTTACAGACTCCAAGTTCTACCAAGAAGTGTGTATATCACATACACAAAGCTCTCCTACCTTATAAGGGAGCCCTCAAAAGTCTACTAGTTTCCTTTTACTCTTCTCTTTACTATTCTCTCATTTACTTTATTCCATTATCAGAGGCGGAGGCAGCGGCGAACAGGGGCTAGGATCACAGGCTGGAGGATCATGCTGCAAAGAGGTGGCAGCACTACTGTTTTACTTCCTCAAGCGGACAAAACAACAGCTAAAGCGTACATGTAAACCCCGCTACAGCCTTTAAACTCTTATATAATCTAGCTAGCTAGACAGGAAGCCAGGGGCCTCCCCCCCCTGGCGTCTTTTGCCCCAACGGGGACTGAAGGGCACGTGACTTGCGTACGTGCCCGCCTAGACGTTAAATAGACACACACACACACACACAAGATCGGACGAGGTTGGGATTAATCGGTACATATGTGTTCATTAAGGATCCCAGGGACCAACAGCCCTTGCACCCGTCAGTATCTCCGGCTCGCCATCCTCCTTTACCAACAAAATATCCTCATGCCTCACCCCAAACTTGTCAACCAAATAAATACCCGGCTCAGACGTAAAAGTCATCCCAGCTCTTAATGTGGTGTTAACATTTCCCTTATTGAGATACGGACTTTCGTGTGCCTTGATGCCAATTCCATGCCCTACACGATGAGTGAAGTCCTTGCCATAACCTGCATCCGTGATGACCTTTCGTGCTGCGATATCGACGGAGGCTGCGCTGTTACCTGCCACCAAATTATGCATTGATTGTGTTTGGGCTTCGAGGACAATATCCCATACGGAGAGTTTCTCCTGGACCATTGGGGATAAAGCCGCAAAGTCAGATGGTGTGGTGGGTTTTGGGAAGAAGGGAGGAAAGAATGTACGGCAGATATCAGATGAATATCCGTACAAATGTGCTCTAATACATATATCAGTATATCTTCCAAATGTGATGGGTGTTTCAGGAACTTACCCGACGTCAATCAGAACAAATGTCTCAGCTTTAAGAATCTTGCTGCCGTCGGTTCCACCATGTGGATTACTAGCGTCCTCATCTAGTAACTTGTCAGTAGGAAGTATGGAGTGGAACTTCTGATATGGGAACCAACCGAAAAGTACAATATCGAAAAACGGATCCATTCCCGCAACTCGAAGCGTATTATCCAAGACCTCCATCACCTCATTTTCCGTTAGGCCAGGGTACAAACATTTCCTCATTGCCCGTACAGCTTCTACTGTCCCCGTATTCACAGCTCTTACGATTTCAACTTCTCTCTGGGTCTTCGTCTGCTTGACTCTCTCGACTTCGCCCCCAAGACCTACCACTTCGAATCCATTCTCACCGAGCCCTCTCTGAATGAAATCTCTCATCTCATCATCAACCATAATCTTCGGGGTCCTCGTAGTATTATCCCAGCTTTCAAGTAGAGTTTGATAAGGATTCCAATGTTCCTCCCACGAAACAAATTTAGGTCCATTCACGAACGGCATTCTCAACAATTTCGCTCTCTCAACCTCAAAACTTGGTGCCAAAAACTTCACGTCAGCTTCTATTCTTCCGCTCTCTTTATTGCGAATGGGTTGAACAACCATCAAAAAGGGACGTTCTTCTGGTTCCCATACTTCCCATTCTGGTTGGCTGACATTCGCGTAGTACTTGAAAGTGTAACCTGGCTCAACAACGAACGCATCGACGCTGTCAGCTTCTAGAGCGACAGCAAGACTGTTTCTGCGCATTTCAAATTCAGAGACCAGAAGCGGGGCTGCTGAGTCTAAGAATGGGAATCCAGTGGCAACGAAGTTGTCGATAGAGCATTTTTGAAACTGTGCAACTGTGTTGAGTGGTGTTGATGAGATATTCAAATTTGAGTGGTGGTTTGAAGACTGTTGTGATATTAGAACTCGGTTCAGAAAAGCCATATTTGAGAATATACTAGTGCTAATGATGTCCCTATAAGCAGTAAAGCTGCCAAAAGGCATCTTCTTCGCTTTAATGAGCGACGTTCATTATGAATTTGTTTGCCTTCAAATTGGCCCACCAGTGGCCTGTACTCTTTGTCCGAACTCAAGTCCATTGATTTTCCATGTACTTGTAGCAACTAAAAGTAACAACAAAACATATCATGAAGTTGAGAAGGAAAGGGAAGTTGTGACCACTGGATACGGAAGTGGGGGCCGAGATGAGAACCCCTGGCTCCGACCATTCTCCGATGCGTTTCCGCTTTAAGCCCGCCTATCTCGACGTCGTGTTCCCCCTTTCCACCCACTTTTGGCGATCACAACCTTGGAACAATCCATCCCCCGAACCACAATGATTGCCGTGCAACTTTGGCCGATAGATATCCTGATCAAATACTATCTTGATACGACTTTTGATTGGCTGCCAGTATGTTCATCGGCCAAGTGATCCAACTAATAATGATAGGGAATTACTAGCAGAGGCAGGAAGCTCGAAATGGAGACGTTCAGTCTGCATATAGAATGGCCGTCCTTAATGAACATGAATTTTTGAAGGATGCTTTTCTCTAAAACCGGAACTGGAGTATGCCAACCACGATGGAGTCAACTGAGACTGATAACAAGATCGTCAAAGCTCAAAATGCTACTACCGACTTCGAGGTCGGTCCGAACGAGGACTACGTCCATGATATCGAAGAGGGGAAGACTACTTACTCCAAGCTTTCTGCTACTTTGATGGTTATCTTCTCGGGTCTCGCCATTGGTTCAGATGGTTTCAACTCTTCCATTATTGGAAATCTTTCCTTGATTTTTGGCGTCCTTTATCCTGATCTTTCGGCCACCATGTACTCGCGTCTTTCGAATGCGTTTCTTGTTGGTATGGTTGTAGGAATGTTGGGGTTTGGGTATGTGTCAGATCGTCTGGGAAGAAAGAGTGGGGCCGTACTCACGACATTCATTCTCGTGTTGGGTATTGCTTTGAGCGCAGCGTCAAGTGGTAAAGATCAACTGGGCATGTTTTGGATGCTTGTTATTGCAAGAGGAATAGCTGGTGTCGGTGCAGGGGGGTATGTTATACGTGTTTCTTATACACTTTCATGTGACTAATTGAATCTGTAGAGAATACCCAGTTTCCGGTGCTGGTGCAACTGAGGCCACTGACGAAGATGCTGGAGTCAGGAAGAACCGGGGATTCATCTTTGCAATCATTGGTGATCTCTCCGCTACTCTGGGATTTGTCTTTGGTGGGCTTGTGCCTTTGTTGCTTATTCTATGCTTCCATGAAAATGAGAAACATTACCACATCGTGTGGCGGCTATCACTCGCTCTGGGGGCCATTCCTCCGCTCTCAATTTTCTGGTTCAGATACAAAATGGCTACAAGTACTGCGTATAAGAAAAGCGCGGCCAAGAGACAAAGGATTCCTTACTGGCCAATTTTCAGACGATATTGGCGCCCATTACTTGGTTGCTCTCTCGCGTGGTTTTTGTGAGTGTTGATACGACCAACTTTGTGAAAATACACATACTAATTGAAGAAAAGGTACAACTATATTTCGTATCCATTCGGCCTTTTCGCATCCACAATTCTTGAGCGTGTAAACGTGGGCCCTTCTCTCACCAAGAATATGGGTTGGGGTACTGTCATCAACTGCTTCTATATACCAGGTGCATTCATCGGAGGGCTTCTCAGTGATAAGATCGGACGACGACGAACTATGGCATTAGGATTCGGAGCCCAAGCCATTCTCGGGTTTATCCTCGGTGGTGCGCTGAAAGATATTCAACCTATCCTCCCTCTCTTCATCATTCTTTACGGCATTTTCCTCACTCTCGGTGAAGTGGGACCAGGAGCGACGATTGTCCTAGCATCAAGCGAGTCCTTTCCCACGAGTATTCGAGGTCAATGTCTCGGTCTGATTGCTGCATTCGGAAAAGCTGGTGCGGCTGTGGGAACAGCTGTTTTCAAGCCAATACTCGCGAGCTATGGGGATGATGCTTATAAAGGAAATCAAGCTGTTTTTCTGATTGGGTCAGGGTTCGCTGTCACTGGTGCTGTTGCGGCTTGGTTCATCATTCCTGATATTAGTAATCGATTGGAAAATGAGGATGAAGCTTGGAAGAAGTACTTGCAAGAATTGGGATATGAGATTTCTTGGGGTGATGAAGATGCCAAAGAGCCGGTTGGGGTGAAGATGGATGGTGTGAGGACTTAAGTTTCTGGGTACTGAGGGCCAACATAGGAGGAGCCATTTGTCACTGTAACGATGAGACAACAAGTGTCTAGAAATGCTATCAAATTCCTTGTACGGGTTCTGTGTATGTGTTGTAGAGAGTCTTCAAGGTTATGCGACATTGAATGATATAAAGTTCAAGCCCCCCCTTTATTCTCTATCAAGTGGGGATTAGCGTAAAATATGCCCATCGTCTGATCTCCCAAGGACTCCAGCCACTAATTAAGTTCACGACTCTGAAATCGGTCAACTTGAAAGGATTCAGCTTACCCAAAATTACCACAACGACCTCTAATTTCCAATCCTGCTAGCGAAAAAATATATAGGGTATTTTGACATTACTTTAGTAGTGAAAGAGGTGTTGAGAATCTTGTAGTGGCCAGTGTATGGGCTTATGCATGTATTAATTATGCTAAGTTGCCTACCATTTGCTTGACTCGTATTCTCAGCAAGGGCTTCCTGGTGAACCGCGACCCCTTTTTTATTTCGCTTAAGACCACAATCACGTGGATCGCTGCTTCTACCACTCCCGTCAGCCCGATAATGAGAACAGTAGATAACACGACGTACTATGAAAATAAAAAGTGATAACCTGATCTAAGAGTCATAGGCAGAGCATTTGTAGTGTACTTGCGTAAGGTGGGGGTGGGAACACGTGTATGCTCTCTATAGTCCTCCGAGGGTCGACTCTCTTAGGCCTTATATCAGATCATGAGATAGATAAGAAACTGGTGCTAGAAATCTGATATATAACAGGTTATCAGAGGAAGTTTTACTACTTAATCCACTTTTACAATTATTACTTAGGTAATCTTACTACTGAGAGAATAGTTTATTTGTTCAATACAAGTAAAGTAATTGGGAAACTCGTCCTCATCAAGATCGTTGAAAGTGCAATACCTTTTAGGAACCATGCCATGAAAACAAAACCATTACTCCAAGTGCCATTCGAGCCACAGTATAATCGCCAGAGACTTAAAACTGCAAGTACTGTATTTGACCCAAGCCAACAATAAAAAAGTAAAGATCAATCCACCACCATTCTCCCAAACACAATCCATAGTTCTACCCCTGAAGCTTACAACCTTATCCAACTCAGCACCTTTTCTCTATCTACAAGCAGAGCTGCCTCCAGAGTAGGGGACGCATCTTTGGCCCCTTGAGTTTGGTATCTCAACCCTTGTTTCCCATTCCCCAAAGCGTCGAAGAATGGCATGATCTGAGAAGACGGCAGACTTGTCCTGTCGTTTCCTCTAGAAGATATCGCATTTTGAAGCCTCTCTCTCCAGTCTGTGAGAGTAACGGGGACGTTGGAAGTTATTCCAGCTTCACAAAGACGTGGGAGGACGTCTTCCCAGGAGCAGGTAGAATGATTGACCACGTTAGACACAAGAATTTGGCCATTCGAAACATTCGATGTGGGTAGCTTTTGCATTGCTAATTCGAGTACAATCGCAGAAGCTTCATCGAGAGTGAGCCAATCAATATCACAGATGTCTATAGGGAAGCACTCAAGAGTTCTAGAAGTTTCAAAGAGACCAGGTATCCAGGCGCGATCTAGTCGGGTTGAATCTAATGAGAAATCTCCTGATTGTACGATTTGTCCTAGACGCAGGATAACGACGTCAAGCCCGGTTTGTTCGCTTGCCACACCAAGAATTTGTTCAGCGACGAATTTCGAAGCGCTGTAGCCAGTTCCCAGACAGCTTCCGGGGGTACTTATCAAGGTCTCTGGGATAGGCTGATTGGGATTCGAAAGGGGTCAGTTCATCACCGAGCTTACTGATGAGCAAAATACGAGGCGTGGGCGACGAGGACTTTGTAGACTCCAGTCTATTAGGTTGCGGACGTCACGAAGATGTTGTTGGAATGCCTTGAGTGGCAAAGAAAGGTTTAGTTGCCAGGCATTGTGGATTATGAGGTCGACATCCGAAAGCAGGGTCTGGTAATCTTCGTATCCGAGTCCGAGATTCTTCTCGTGGAATTGGACTTTGAAAAGTCGGACTTTATTAGCGAACTCTTTCTCGTGCTCCTGGTAGACACGTCGGTTTAAGCAATAGATCTTGAGCCTTTTGGGACCTTGGACTAGTTTCCGGGGAAGTGCTGTCCCTAGAGATCCCGTCGATCCAGTCAGTGCGATTGTCAATGCCTCGTTCGAGTCATTAGTCATAGCAGGAGAAGGCTTTGGAAAACTCTCCGTATGTTCGGCGATAGTTGCGGCTATATGTGCTTGTAGCTGGTTACGTTGATTAGGAGATGTTTTCCCACCAGTGAACATTCGAAACAAAGCTTCCGACAGTTGAGAAATGGAGGGGGAGCGGTATACCAGATCCTGTGAAATCCAATCCTGATTTTCGGACAAACAGATTGGTTTGGCGCCAGTTCTCAAGTTGCGAATTATCTCGCTGGTCTTCAGTGAATCAATTCCCAATTCGAAGAAATCATCATCAACACCAATCGTGTTCGTGAACGCATCAGTCACGATATCCCTAACAAATGCCTCGACGGCTAACTTCTCAAACTTGTTTGTCAAAGAGACTCGAGACGTTTCCATCTGATAGAGCGCATCCACTTCCGCTTGCAACTTCTTCTCTGAAAGCTTTCTGATCACCGTTCCTTTGCCTGCTCAGACAAATGCGGAAGGGGCAACAACCAATATCTTGGACCTGCTGATTCGGCCTTGAGCGGGGACGAGGGAGTTGGCTTGTTCTACCAGCGGCCAAATATCATCGAGGAGAGCGATATCGTCGTGATCGTACCCAGATTTGGATTCGAGAAGAAGACTAGCCTGCAGACGACCTTGTCCAACTACCAAAACTCCACTCAAAACACTTCCCCCAGACAAAAACTGCTCCATAGGAACAGGGTTGAACTTTTCACCATTTGAGAAAACTACGATATCATCTCGTCGCCCGTAGTATTGCCATAGATTAGGTTTTGACGGGTGCGGCATGAACAGGTCTCGTGTCCTCCACTCAGAAGTTCCGGGTAAGTTATGGTTCAGCGCAGACATCTTCTCGGTTGAGGAGTCCGCTAAGAGCACCAATTCATATGCTCCGTCTTCGGCGGGGTCCATGCGATGTTTGAAGTTTGGGTTCCATTCCATGTACGCCCAGTCTTCTTCTGATGGGACCAATTGTGGTGTTTGGAATGCTTCTGTTGAGCCGTATAGTGGTACGAGTTCCGTCACCTGTACTAATTTCGCTCCAGTACTTGGGGAGAATGGGCCCCCAGTGTAGCAAACGAAGTCTAGTCGCTTGAAGTACTCGATTCCGTCAGGCTCCGTGAGCATCTGCTCTGCAAGAGATGGTGGGACATATCTACGCTAGGTCAGCTCTGAAAGGCGTTGTGTAGGCGAGGAGAGTAGAGTATAAGAGGCTCTCTAGTCGCTCGGTACAAGCTAAAAGAAATACAGTGAAAGAAAGATGAGTTATATTACATGGCTCTAACATCCTGCCTACTCAAAACATCTTTCATAAGACCACCACTGGGCGGCGCTAGCCGAGGCCCAATAACCGGACTCGAAGCTTCTGTAAACACTGGATTCACAACAAGCGACAGAAATCCAGCGAGATGGAAGTACGGAAAAACCGTGAAGAACTTTCCTCCGCCCTCGAAATTCCAAATTGAAAAATCTCTGTTGGTACGACCAGGGACACTGGGAAGAAATCGTTCGCTGTCTAGTACGGCAAAGGTGCCGTTGGTCATGGTGATTGGTTTTGGGAACCCGGTGGATCCCGAGGAGTGCAAAATGAGGAATGGATCGTTTTTAACTTCTTCAAATGGCCGTTTGGCTGGAGAGATAGCACCGGCTGGTTTCTTTCGGTAGATTTCTTCAAAGGAAGAGATTTCGATCGCAGAAGTTGGCCTCAAGGCGCATATTTGTTCCATTATATGCTTCACTTCTTTTGCATAAATTATCTTCGAGCATGCTGTTTCTTCTAATAGGCTGATAATCGCTTCCATCGCATTACGTGGTGACGGAAAAAATGTCTTTTCATCCTCAAATTTAGCGAAGACCTTAACAGTGGATAGAACTTACTTTATATACATTCCTTATAACTGCGAAGAACAACACAACACTTCGGAGATCAGGTATCCCAATATATGCAATGGTCTCAAAGTTCGACGACCTGCCCCACATACTCTCCAGCCAGCTAGCCAGGGATACCACCATGCGCTCCATGTCAGAGACTGAGATATCTTTGAATCCATCGGCAAGATCATTGGTCTTGGGAATAGAAGCGTAAATACGCTCTGGTGTTGAGCTTGCAAGAGAGGAGAGAGTCTCGCTAAGTGTGCGATTCCCGAAGTCGTAGGGTGGGTAAGTCCTTGCCATGTTGAGTTGAGTTAAGTTGAACGAAAGCCAGGGGTGATTGTACCTCTAGTTATGTGGAAAATGACACCCAAGAGAGGATCTGGTTGGATCTTATGTACTAGTCCATGTTAGATACAATCGTGCTTTCGGAAGGAATATTCCGCATATGCATATTGTGACCAACCGAATCGCTCAATCTTGGTTGGATCCAACAGTCACCAACTTCTCAGCAGACTGCAACGAACTACTACATTGCAGTAGAACATTGAATCCCTTTTGTTGATATTTCGCAGGGCTTAGTTAAAGTATGTAATTAATCCTAGCTTTGTTTATAAAAACTTCCGAGGTCCTTCTATAATTCAAAGTAGCGTGGGAACAAACTACTTAATAACTCGAGTAAGAGACATACTCCCTACTCAACACACCTCCCTTCCCATAAACCCATCCCAAAACCGCCATACAACAAAAATAACCATAGCAATCGCCTAGAACAACTATTACCTCCCAACATTCACTAGCCTAAGTGTCCCAAAGACAATTATTTCACTTCACTTATACTACAAGTTTAGTATCCTAGACCTTTACATAGTATACATAGAGTAACGACCACGTCTCTTATCTTACTTTTACCTCTTAATCCACAAAACCCCCCATCTACAATACAAAATATCTCCATCCAAAATTCAAAACCATCCCAAGCAAACCTCTCACTTGAGAATCTTCCATCCTGCTTCCTGCCTCCAAGTCCGAAGCTCGGTAGTCTGGTAGTTTACTAGTATAATGAAAACCATCCAGAAACCCCCGTATGAACTATCATAACGATACTCTTAATATGAATATACTTAACTTCCGTTTCCACGTACACTCCTCCCATTCATACACATCACCAAAAATCCCCTAAAACCGCTCTGCGATCGGATTTCGGATGGGAGATCAGGGTCGAGGGTTGCTGGGAGGTTTATATCATGATTTAGATGGTAGGATTGGAGATTTGTATATATTGTAATTCAAAGTAATATCTTGGGATTTAGTAAAAAGTCTTTGTTCATCTATTTCAAAACTTCCCATATACCTTAAATCCCCTCCATCAACCATTCCAATCCACTCCCCTTAGAACCCCTTCACCGACCTACCTAACCTCCCCATCCCCCCAAACCCCCGGAAACAAAAACTCCACATTCCCCATCCCCTTCCCACCCCTCCCCTCAGGCTTCGTCATAAACCCAAGCATTCCCTTTACACTCCCCTCCAACGCCTTGCCCTCTCTCAAANAAACAAAAACTCCACATTCCCCATCCCCTTCCCACCCCTCCCCTCAGGCTTCGTCATAAACCCAAGCATTCCCTTTACACTCCCCTCCAACGCCTTGCCCTCTCTCAAACCCTTCACCTGCTCATCATCCCCACAGAGCCGATCAAGCACCGCAGCAATAAGCCTCTTCGCATTCTCGCCATTAGCCTTCATGTGACCCATGACCATGCTGACATCCACGTCTTCCGAGGAGTGCCAGCAGTCGTAGTCGGTGGCCATGCAGATCATTTGGTAGGCAATTTCGGCTTCGCGGGCGAGTTTGGCTTCTGGGAGGACGGACATGTTGATTACGGTTGCGCCCGAGGCGCGGTACATGTTGGATTCGAAGCGGGTGGAGAATTGGGGTCCTTCTGTGGAGAGAGGGATGTTAGTGGTGATTTGGGGTTTTACTTGTTGCAGAGGGGAGAAAGGGGAGACGAACCCATGCACACTATTGTTCCCTTGTCGTGCATTACTACTCCTTCACCTGCGAGGGCGTGGCCACATTCGCTGACGATCTTGGGATTTCGTCAGTTCTTGATTTCAATAGTTGCAGGCTGTGAGGATGGAAGGCGTACCTTGCCCATTGTAGCATCGAACGGATCAGCGAATCCAACGTGTCCGACGACACCATCTTCAAAGAAGGTAAACGGTCTAACACCTATAAAAAGTCAGCATCTCTACCCTTCCATATCCTCCCCCAATCCCTCTCCACATCCCACATCCTCCCTCCCTCCAAAGATCTCTCCTCCCATTCCCCAAGACAAACCCCCATCAAAAAAAAAAAAAAAA